TCTCTCTCTCTCAAATAAATAAATAAAATCTTAAAAAAAAGTCAAGTCAGAGCATTTGAGCAAGAGACACCTGGCCTCCCAGTTACTCTTGAGAGAATGGGGCTCTGTAGTTAAGGCTGAAGCAGGCTCAAAGGTTCCACATACCTTGGCCTCTTGTTAACAGTGCTGCTCAGAGGACAGGAGCAAGTTCAAGCACAAAGCGCTTTCTTTACTGTTTTTATTTTAAAATTGTTGGTGCTAGCGCAATCATAAGATCACTTCTCCATTACGTATGAACAACTACCCCAAAATACAAATGATACTACTAAAGAAAATATTAAGGACTGTGGAAAATTGCTGTGCACTTAATATCAATATCAAACAGCTAAAATCAATTTTGCAGGAGGGATGATAACACTACTTAGAAGCCAATTTGTAGTGTATTAATTAATGTTACAATTGTGTTCTTTTTTTTGCATATAAAGCTGAATTAAATCAACTGTCACTGCCTGGAAAAAGTAAGGGCAGCTTGTCAAAAATAAATAAATAAAAAATCCTACATTAAGTTTTTTACATGCAAGTATTCTTGAAAATGAATGGACTGTTGAAAAAGTCATTTACGTTATTCTGTGAACTCTATCCTCACATGGCTGTGTGATACTTCAGGGACAGAGAAGAGGTAGTAGGTAGTTAGTGTGCTGGTAATCTACAGGACCCTCCTCCCAGCCCCTGCTGGGCTGGCCCCATAATTCAGATTTAGCATTCACGGCTCCCTCCCACAGCCAGTCAAAATAGCCATAAGGAACAGCTAGAAAGGCATCTGGGAGACACTGAATGGATGTTTCATTTTGTTTGTTTTGAGTCAAATTTACTCATCAACGAAAACCAATGTTCCTGTCATTAATCTTATAACGAATGAAAACCACTGGTCCTCAGTTGAGTCTGTCTACTTTTTCAAGTTTTGTAAATATTATTTTTTAATTTATTATGGGCCAATGAGTTAGATTTAAAGAAAATCATTAGTGTTAATTTACTAGATGTAATTTGAAATATTTTTTCCTCCTTTTTGGTAAGACTCAGCTATACGAAGCTAACAGAATTCTAGTGCGTTAGTATTTAAGAGGTAAATGAGCTGGCAAGCATGAATTTAGGTATCATACTGTGTTCAACTGCTGATGCATCTAATCTTTTAAAAGCGATTTGATAAAAGGAATATTTGCTATTTGATAAAAGGAATATTCTCTAACGCAAGTAGTATGTTTAGATATATGATGACAAAGAGGAATGAAGATGCTCCGGTTAAAGATTATTCTTAGGAATCAATAGTTCTTACGAATTTCAAAACCTCAGTGTCAGAATAATACTTAAGAAGTAATATACAGATGATTCTTAGGAAATACTTAAGTTGATTTAATCAAGTTATTGGTAACTTTAGAACAATTACAATCTTAATGGTGATTTAATTTTCCATATATGCGTGTTAAAATTTAGCACAATATGATCAGCAGAAACATGTTTTAACAATACCTAATTCTTCCTCCATTGTGGAACCTTTATTCTGTGAGCCAGAAACTCCCAAGACTCTGTTAAACAGTATAGAAAAGGCACTGCCCCAGACACCTGAAATAAAGCAAAAATGGAGAATAACTGAGAATGCTCCAAGATTTAAAACAGTCAAGCAAACAAATGGTAGATTTTGATCACTTACCCATTAAGAAATGCAAGGGATTTTCTTCATATTTCTTCACAACTGTTCCCATAAAAAATTTGCTTCCAAATAAGTCAGGAGCCATAAAAGTACCATATTTAGCCATGCCAATCTCATACGGGCTAAATTCAACCCAATCTGAAAGCATTTAAAAAGAGTGTAATCTGTTAATAGGAAAATACTACAGAAATGTGCACAGTTGAAGATCGCTCCAACAATGTCTTGATTATTTTCATTTATTTAAAATATTTTTAAAAATTAACCAAATGCCTATTATGTTTATAGCACCATATAGAAGTTGGGGGAAAAGAGCTTATTGAGATGAAAACACAAACGGATTTCTCCTAATTTGTACAAACTGAGTATCTTTTGCATTTAAAAGCTCAGACATCTTTTATGAAGTCCACCTTAATTCTAAAGAATGGAAAACAGAAAACTGCTAACTCAGATGTAAAATCTACGAAGGAGATAGAAGAAATTAAACTCTGATAACGCAAGCAGACTATGAAATGGAAGAAGGTATTTTCTAACGTTTGCCTTTCCTTCATGTTTCTTTAATTTTGCTTATTAATCATTCTTCTGACTCAAGATTATAATACAAAGTTTTTATGCTGAGTGTCTCAAACACATGGTACTACGGTCAAAAAAGCATACTTTCGAGGAGCAGAGACTATGGAGCCAGAGCCCGTGGTTCAAATCCGTTTTGCTGCTTACCAACTACGCCAGCTTTGGTAGATTACTTGTGTTCTTTGTGTTTTAGTTCCCTAATCTATAGAATGTGGATAAAATAAGGAGATCGTAAAATTGTTGTGAAAATCTAACGTGTATAGAAATGTAAAGAACTGGGGCGCCTGGGTGGCTCAGTTGTTGAGCGTCTGCCTTCGGCTCAGGTCATGATCCTGG